GCATTACAAATTGTCCACTAGGGGAAAATCAACTACTGTTGCTTCTTAGCAGCTTAGAAGCAGATTTTTTGGGACCATTTGATTTCCTACTGAAAGCTTTACATATCCACAAAAGTAGTTACCAAGCACTCACGGTCTTTTTTTTCCAGCAGCATTGTCCTTCATGTATTTCATTCCTGGCTCCTAAGCAGGAGATGTTTCCAGCTGCTGCAGGCAACCAGATTGTTGACCTTTTTAGTCGCCAGAGTGTTTCTTTAATCTTCCAGCTACTGCTCCAACAGACATTTTTACCTTCGTCTTGCAGCTTGGAGTTGTTAAGTGCTTCCTGAGCATGCAATTCTATATTTTAGCATCACACACACACACACACACACACACACACACACACACACACACACACACACACACACACACACAGGCTCTCGCTATTGATTTATGATTTAATTCCTGTTTTTATATTGGATCAGATTGAACATACACTCACTCTGCCCTTAATGATGCACTCTGGGTAATGATATCATAGCATGAAATGAATTGAGAGTTGTAAACATTAATACTAATATGTGTGAGAGAGTGCACATATAAAGAGATATAGAGAGGAGAGCAGAGGATTCAGAGGGAGAAGGGGATAGGGGAGAGGTAGTTGTGTCGGTGTTTGTAGAGATGGAGAGGGTGCAAAAAGGATATCCTACAAACAACTCCAGCAAAATCACGTATTGCTATCAGTAATACTATTAAGAGATAAGATGCTCATGCAGTTTTTCTTTACTTTTTACATCAGATGATATAACCAGATTGAAGAATTGTTGGATACAAATAAAAATGATAAATACAGAGGCAGAAGAAGCATATGTACATTTCAGATCAACTAATGAGATACAAATAGATGACTTACATGTATAACACAATTTGTATTTGTGACCATGACACAAGATTGTAAGTGGGAATGTTTCCTAAAACTCCTGAACAGTGTGAACAAACTACATCTGTAAATGTCTGTCTGCATCCATATCTGCTTCCACTTGGGATTATGTCCATGGTTTTTGCTATTGCTGACAATTTATTCAACTTAGTTAATAATTGCAAGGACCCATTCCAGAAAATGAAGCATATATAATGCTATCACAGTTTACTGTCAATAAAGTGCCTAAACAATTCTTATAATATGCTAACTTCATGTATACCAAATGTATTTATGTTTGCCACACTCATAGTTGTGTTCCTGTGTTGTTTAGTATGTAAATCAAGCACCCTGTGCCTGTCTGAACCTGTGTGTTTGAGAGTGTGTGTGTGGGTTTACGGGTGTTTGTGACTAATAGCAGACATCAGAGAATCCCACTGATCTAGGTCACAAGGTGACCCTCCCTCTGCTTCACTCTCACACACACACACACACACACACACACACACACACACACACACACACACACACACACACACACACCTTTTAAAACACCTGCTCAGCATTTTTGTGCTCCACTTCATACCGCTGTTATTAGACGGTACTCCTGTTGGGTATATACTGTAATGTCACTATCCATGTGTGTGTGAGCATTTGTGTGCCTGTGTGTGTGTTTATATTAATGGACTGTGAAGGTTAACAGCATGGGTTTATACAAGGAGACAAGCAAACATGGGAGGGCAATCACATTCACACGCATACCTGTGTCTCAAATGTAACAGCCGAGGTGAAATTACTCAAATAAAAACGATGAAAATGTAATGTGAGTAGAAAAGGCACCTGTTGGCTGACGCTACAAGATGAAAGCACCATACATCAAAGAGCTGGTGTATAGACGAAGGTTATTGCCTGAAATTGTATTTCAGCTGCAGATATGGGAAATAATACCAGCAGCAGCAGGGAGGCTTTTTTCTCAAAGTGCCAACTGGATAGCAGTCACCTCTTCTCAGGCCTAGACTCCACGGGAACGAAAACGGGTTGAATCCGCATATTTCTCATGCGTATAGCCCTTTAAGCTCGACGACCCGTAACGGAAACGTAGAAACAGATCCTGCAAACGACAACGGGTCCAAAGGTGGAGAGATCTGGGAACGGAGCGCTCTGGGGGGTCCAACGGGGCCGTGTGGTCGCCTATACGGTCATCCGTTTCATAGCCCCGCCTCTCCCCGCCTCTCCCCACCTCTTCCCACCTCTCCGCGTACCCCGCATCATTGCTGATGTGTTTCGTTAACAACAACAATGGCGGATCGCAAGGTTGCTATCGTGCTCCAGTCGCTACTGACCATGCTACAGTTCTTTGTGCAACATCTACAGGAGCTCATCCATCAGCAACAACAGGACATGGAGAACATGACCTACATGTTGCTAAGAGTACCGCGGGGAATAACCCGAAGGGCAACCAGGAGAAGGTTTTGGGTAAGACCGGGCAGAAGCAGCAGTTGGTGGGACAATTTTGTCAATGGCGTTGTCGTGGATGAGGATTGGAGGGAGAACTTCCGCATGTCCAGAGCCTCTGTCGTCGCCCTGACCGAAGAACTGTGCCCATATATCGAAAGGCAAACAACAAACATGAGGGCACCAATTGATCCACTGAAAAGGGTTGCGTTAGTACTGTATTACCTGAGCGATGGGGGAAGGATGCGGAAGACTGCTAACGCCTTCGGTGTTTCGCGCCAGACTTTGTCCTACATTATTAGGCAGACATGCAGAGCGATCTCAATCCACCTGGGTCCAAAATATATCAAGCTGCCTTTTACTGAGCCCGAGACCGCGGATCTGGTTGAGGGCTTCGATCATGCTCATCACATGCCACAATGTTTAGGAGCAGTGGACGGAACCCACATCGAAATCAAGCAGCCATCTACCAACCCCACTGACTACATCAACAGGAAAGGCAGACATTCCCTTAATGTACAGGCCGTCTGTGATTACAAGTACCGATTCATGGATGTCGTGGTAAAGTGGCCTGGGAGTGTGCATTTTTTTATTATTACACAATAGGACCATAGCCACCAGATCACATAAGACCAAAGGCATGTTGTGCAATAGCTTCTACTTTTACAAATACAACAGCTCTCAATACATTCTACTTTTACAAAGCTTAAACGTGTTCAGTTTTTCTGTGGAAGGTACTAGTATCTACTATCGTAGTATGTAGCAAGTCCGTTAAGCTTGAAATCATGAACATACCTGGAGCAGATTCCTGCGATGCTGTACAACTGCAGCAGCTGGCAGACTTCCGCTGGATTCGCTCGACTCTGGCGGTGGCGATTCGTTGGAACGCTCCAAACTCCGGGGTGAGCTTGGTCCGGAAGACGACTCTTCCAGGTCCCCCGTCTCGATGCCCGAGCTAAGGGAGCACATTGCAGGCGAGCCACCCCAGACCTCTTCACACAGCTCAAAAAACATGTGCACAACACGTCCTTGGCCACTCCGACGCTTCGTGTCCACCGCATGCCTGTACTTTATGCGGATTTGTTTAAGCTTGGCGGCAAGCTGGGCCTTTGTAATGGCCCCCACGCTGTGAGGGAAATCCTTCCCTGTGTCGGTCCTCGGATACTGCGCCTGAAATAAGTTGTCTATATCGCTATACTTCAACTTGCAGGACTCCCAGTCAACATTCTCCTGTATTAATGACGTTTTGTACTCTAATGTGACCCGAAGTAGAAGTTCTACCTCATCATCAGTCCACGAAAAGACCTCCTTTCTTGCACAAATATCAGCCATCTTCTACCTTGTGTGTTTGTTTGTTTGTTTGTGCCTTACACATCCGGGGGGGATCTTATACTCGCTGCTTTTGGTGGAGGAAGTTACAGCGCCACGTACAGGTTCGGCATATGTACTGCAGCTTTTCCAGCGGTTGGATGTAAACGGAGCCGTCTCGTGGAGCTTGACACAATCCGGTGTATATTGCGTGTGGGCGGAAGGTTTTTTGCGGTTGCGTTTGCGTTACTCCGATGCGTTTTGCCGTATGCGTTCCCGTGGAGCCGGGGCCTCAGTCTACCAGCAATGACCTAACACTCACTTTGCTAACCACAAGAGCCCTGTTCATCTTCTCAGCCAATTAAGGGATCTTATCCTCCACAGTTGATGAAAGAGTTGCAAATTGCCTCCTATCTGCTGGTGCCGTGCCCTATCAAAGCCTCAGTTCATAAGCTTGTTTCTATGTAAAAAGCTACCATTGTTAAAAGTGCTATATTGCAGTTTTATCGTCGGGTAGTTGTTTGAAACATTGTAATATGTCCATATAACAGTCTATTAGGTACCGTATAGGGTAATAGCAGTGGACTTAATAGTTAGTCATATGAATGAATTGAATGTGGTTCAATACAACACACAATTGAGTAATACATTTCCCTGTGAGAGATTAATAAAGCATGTCTTCTTTTTCTTCTTCTTCTTCAAATTGTATAAAAGCATCAGAAACCACCATGAGATCTGATCTGAGTTGTTGGGTCAAATCCCTTACCTTAACCAGCTGTCAGGATTTGGCATTCGTAGCAAGAACAATGAATAAAAACAGCATTATCCCAATTGAACCTTAAAGTGGTGCTAGAGACACAGACTGGTTGTATTGGGCAGTCCTGATACTGTGTCATTCACTCTGTGTCATTACATACACAATGGGCTTTGTTCTGACTCCAGGGCGAGAGAGAAAGCGAAATACAGCAAAGTAAACTAAACCTTGGACATATTGTTTCTCTCTGTTGTTGCGGTGACATTTTTACAGCTTGACAACCTTGTTTAACAGACTCGAGCTTTGTTCTTTTACAGAATGGATACACCATTTTTAGTGTTTCTTTGCTGCTTTTCTAAGGTTTTTTTGTTCGTCCTCATATGTACTTCTATTTTTAAAAGAGTCAATTGAAGTTTCAGAGCAAGGCATGTTTGCAACACTCTCTTGTGTCTGCTCCTCTAGGGCCTAGTTTAGGATTAGTTACGGGGGGGAAAGAGTAAGGGCTTAAGTTTAGGTGTCTGGGAATGTGTATGTTGTGTTTTTTTCAAATTTTAACAAATGTTTTTTCTTTCTCTCTTTCAGGTTGTCAGGCACTAATGTACCCTCTCCCGTCGTTAGCAACAAGAACTGGCTCCGACTGCATTTTGTGACTGATAACAACCACCGTTACCGTGGTTTCAGCACACATTATCAAGGTAAGATTGTGACAGAGAAACAAGATCATGATGAATCTAATGACTAACAGAACTCTGTAAAATATCTCCTGATTTCTTTGTTATTTTGAAGGTTCTTCTTTAGCTCCTGTGATCTTTTCTTTTCTTTTGCTTCTCTCTGCTTCTTTTTTCCTTTTCAACAGACAGTTTTCACCCTTCAACGTGTCTCTATCTCCCTTTAATTACGCTTGTTGACTCCATTCTTCCTGTCTCTTCTCTCCTTCAGTTTCTATCACTCTCTCGCTGTTTATGCATCTCCATTCTTTCTAGTTTTCTCTCTTCTACACTTTCTTGTTCTCTCGGTTAACTGCTCAAAGGTGTACAATTAGACATAAACTCTCAACTGTTGGAGAACATGAGGGAAATTATCTGGCAACTTCCAGTTCTCAAAACAGCGATAATGAGAGCTTAATGTGGAACAGACAGGGGTTTATATTACACTCTACTTGTTTTTCTTACCAACCTCCCATGTGTTTTTAGACTCTGATCACCTGTTGTTTGGTACCTTTAAACACTATTGGCCTCTGTCTGTGAATCACCAGTGCACGGTGCACAAAGTTCATTCAACATCCGACGTTCATAGGGCACGGAGCTGTGTTTGATATTTCCATGGCCAGAGGCTTGTTGCGCATCTGCCGCACAGTTGGAAGCAGGGTGTGATTGAAATACACTAGCAGTAAGCGTTAGGGTTGGCATCAATCACCTTTAATCCCCTAAATCAAATCATTTGGAGCGTGGTTTATTTGTGAGTTTATCTTTGCTGTTTACCAGTAGAATTATGGAAACAGTGCTGTGTGCCTTCCCCCTGCGTCATTGACCTGGGCTGAGCAGGCGGGCAGTACGAGCGTAAATCACGGCCATGCTTGACACCAAAATTGCACTGTGTCACTTGATTATTACTGACACACTCCCCACTGTGCCTCAGCTCTCACTTCACAGCACATTCAAGTTCACAGCAAGTCACCGAAATACCAAGCAGACTCAGGATAGACAAATAAAGTGTGCACCGACCCATCCAAAATGCCATGTCTCGGGAGCATGTGTGCCGTGTGCTGTCAGCAGAACTGGAACCACTTGTTTGTATAGTTTGTCAGGCAAAAACTCGAAATACAATTTTGGACACCTTATGTGAGTTTCTACATGTCATTTTTTGAAAAGTCACAAAACACAGATTCCATTCAAAGCGATGTGAGTGTGTTTCAATTTCTACATCTTTCATTTCAACTCAAATCTTTTTCTTCCTCTCTTTTTGTGACTATTTTCCCAGACAAAACAGTTTATTTGTCTATATCGACTGTTAAACACTGTGGTTCTTTCCGACAGTAATTATATTAATTTGCTAATCTTCGTAGGGCTATTTTTTGCTGTCATGATCATTACTGAAAAAACTTTGTAAATATCGTTGGATTTATCTGCATCTTTTAAACAGACAATATAACATTCTTTAGGTAGACATGGACATCATAGCATTGAGCAAGCTAACCAGGGATTACATATCATTTTATAGCTGGTATTTTATAAATGTTTCCACTCTTTAACCAGCAAATTGATTCCAGCTGTTTAGCTCTTTAAACAACATTTAGTGCTCATTGAGATTACTCTCATTAAATATTTAGATTTGAGGAAAATGTTATTGGTCACATGTGCCTTTTACACGACTGAGGTCAAATTAAACAATTAAGCAAATGAAACTGCAATTAATTCAGTTTATGATTTTATATTAACTTTGCATAATTTCCCAATCTGTTGGTATGACAGACGCATTAGGTTGAATGTGACCCCAGATGACTCGTCACTGCAAATGTTTCTTTTCTGACAGATTTAAATTAGGTATAGGCATGGTTTTGAAGGATAACAAGTGAAAGTCAAACCAGTATGCTTAATGTACACATGCAGCATATCAATTGTAGAAAGGACCTTTTAAGAGTTCAAATAATTTTCAAAACTCATCCTTCTCTTCCCCTCATTTAATGGTGTTCTCCCCCCTTCTCCTATCTGTTTGTACTCCCCTGTCCTCTCTCTTGTCCTCATTCCCCCTCTGAACTACATCTCTGGCTCTCTCAGACTTTCCTCTTGATTGATTGACTGACATCCTGACCACTCCCCTTGAGATTTGCTTTTAACTGGTTTAATTGATCTTAATTAGTTTAAAAGGTTAATCAACATATTAATGGGTGGTGTCAGTGTGATAAGTTAGTTGATTAATTATTCGTGATTGACTGGCTACTCCCTGTCACCTGTCAGTCATCTCACATTACGTTGGTTTTGTACATTGGCAGAAGGTCGATTCGAGTGCCTGAAGAGGAGAAAGTTGATTCAGAATCTCAGTTAGTGCCTGTGTCAATAGAGCCAATAGAAAAGTAATGCATTGCCTGAATTTAATTCATTTCTACTGTATTTTTCTTAAAGAATGTTGTTGTTGTTTTTGTGCCTTTATTAGATAGTACAGCCAGAGATAGACAGGAAAGGGGCAGAGAGAGGAAGGACAACATGCAGCAAAGGGCCATGGGTAGGTTTCAAACCCAGTTGAGCCACTTGGGTGCTCAATGTACTGTATTTCATAAAGTACTTCTATACGTTATTATCATTTGTGTCTGTTTTGAGAAATGTGTGTCTATAATGTCAGTGTGCAGTTAGGATGGATCAATAATCTGATCCACACATTGCCAATGTCACTGCTTACATTGTGAGCTAATTCATAGATATTCTATTTGTTTGATTGTTTGTAGAACCACTTGCAAACCACTTGCAAAAGAAAGCAAACAAACAAACATATTTCAAAGTCTTTATGAGATTATATCTAGAATCATTAACCTTCAAATATGTTATTATTTTGTATTTTATGCTTTACTTTAATTGTGTTCCACTGCATTTATTATGCTGCAACCTTCAGATTTACTCTTTAATTAGCATTCTTAGGACGCTCATCAACTCCACTTTGTTATAAACAGTTCCACTTAATGATAATCCTCTTTTTTTAAATGTTTACTTTGACTGTTATTCCAACCCGCTAGCCGTCGGTTGTTCTGGTCTACAAAATTATTCTTGTCTCCTGTAGCATACATTATAATGGCCAAGCCCGGGGCAGGGTTAGTTCAGTTTATTTGCAAACGATGTATGAAAACAATGCCACATTTATATCTGAGAGATTAAAGAAACAAATCTGCTTTGGCAGCGCACGTTTCCTTCATAAGACACGGCCATGAGACCTCAAAGAGATGTTTGGCTGTAGGTGCTGGACACAGTGTGTGTGTGTGTGTGTGTGTGTGTGTGTGCGTGTTTTACAGGTCAGCCATTCATCTCATAAAAACCTCTTCCTTCTACTGCTGCCCAAATGATGGAGTCATGATGAAAACAATCTGCTAATGATGTATATCCATGTTTGCAGAGAACAAGGGGAAGAGATGCATAAATGAAATAGCAACATCACAAAGGAACAACTGAGAAAAATGGAGAGGGGAGGTGGTGAAACAGTGGGGAGATCCAGATACACATTTAAAGGAGAATGGCAGACGGAAACCAAGGGAGAAAATGATGAGATAGATAGCCAGAGAGAGGGAGATGGGGGGGTTAAGGGGAAGAGTCATTTGGCAGAGAGGTTTGGCTTAATATTCATCCATTAACATAGAGAGTTTTTAATGTCCCGCTGTCACAAATGGCTGTCGTAGACCACTATAAAAGAACATAAAGCGAATATGTGTGGATTGATGGTTGTGTTCTTGGACATTTGAAAAGCCTGTCTGTGTATAAATGTATTTAGTAACACAAAGCCTGCAGCTCCTCCGCATGGCTAAACAAAGATTTACAGAGTTAATTGACCATTTGAATGCTTAATTGATGCTTCAAAATTATTCATAATGACAGGGTTTTAAAACATGCCATAGGCAAGACATTTAAAGACCTGAATTGAGTCCATCAAGGGATGAACCATTTCAACCTTTACATTTTTTATTGAAATACAGAAACCTCTCCTATTCAAGTTTTACTCCCAACATATCAGACTGGTACATGATATGTTTATAAAGGTAAAACAACTAGAGTAGTTTTAATCTGAGAAATGTAAGTCAGTTAAAGTATTGTAATATTCATGCTTTCTATCATTATGGTCAGATGTGTTGAAATGTCTTACATTAAATCTCTGCTCTTTACTGCCCCACTTTACAGGAAAGCATGTGCACAACCATTGAATGTCCATACCATTAGCATGTTTAATTGAAGCTCAGTAATTATTCAGAAATGTCTACATCTCTGAGCAACAGTAAATGCTTTTCACTTCTGGTCCTAAATGCATTTAAAGGTCCAGGTCACCAAATGCATTTAAAGATCCAGGTCAACCTGATATAGAAAGCTTATAAGTGATTGCTGAGTGTGTTTTGAAACACACTATAGCATCTGTAGTTATTTTGTAGGCCAGGATGAAATCAGAGTTGATGTACTTTGTCACCCTGGGAACTGCTGTAAGTTCATTGAACGTTACCCCAGCTGTGTAAGTGTGGGGTCTCACCCTGGGACCTTGGCTTACTAAAACATTCAGTCTGTATTCTGTAGGTTGCTTCATCGGTCTATTATCGAAAATCACAAGTTTTAAGTCAAAGTTTATACTTTACTCACACATTTGAACACACAGTCGTACACCAGTGGTGGCATAACTACCAATACATGTGTTGGCCTTCACATCTGGAGTAATGTAGTTAGTGTATTGCACAATTATGTTTCAGAGCTGGGGAAGCAAACCACCAACCTTGTGACCAAAGGATGTCCTGTTCAACTTCCTGAGTGTCGGTCTCTGACAACATAACTGAGTCAGCTATAATGTGATGATAAAATAGGATGGTTAATTGTCGTCCAAAAGCTTCATTACTATAATTATTGTTTGCGACTTTAAGGTATTAACTCTAAGACAATAAATCCAATTCCATTATTTATGGAACAAGTTTGGTATTTATTTGTAATATGTTATTTCTACAGTTCATCTGTAGCTT